TGGCCCCAGGAGATGTGGCCCGCCAGCGAAGTCACTGGGACCTGCTGACGCTACTGGAGGGGGCCGGACCGACCACGCCGGAGGCCCGCGCGCACGCACGCACCACGCCGGGGGGCGTGGCCGCGCCGCGCTGCCGGACGCAGTCTGCGGGAGCGCGCCCGCGCGGGGGCGGAGCCTGTCTGCAAGCTCGCACTTGGTCGGTGGACTTGGGAGCGCGCGGAGGGGCGGTCTATGCGCGCTGCCGGAGCAGATCTGGAAGCTCCGGGGGCCTCTCCATGCGCGGCCGCAGGTTTTCCGCTGGCTCCCGTGCACGACGCGAGGCTAGGGCATCACAGGATAACTGGCCTCGCGACTGGGTGGCCCTAGAAGCCTGCGGCTCCGCCTGCAGTGCGCCGATCCCGCCTCCCAGCCTGACCCCGTCCCCAGAACGCGGATCCCCTCAAGTTGCCTGGGGGCTTCCAGTCCATCAAGAGATCCCCTTAAACTCGGGTGGAAAGAATCAGAACTAGGCAGCTTCGTGGAAGGAAGGAAGCGACGCGTACGAGTCGGGAAGACACCGGACTTCTAAGGCCAAAATAACCATTATGCCCACTTGTCTCCCCCCATAGAGTATGCACAGCAATGGGAAGAGGGTTCAGGACATGCGGATGAGATACGCCGTGCTTTTTCCTGGAAAATAGGGCAGCTACAAGAGGACAAAGTGGATTTCGAGAATCCCTAGACTGGAACCAAGAACTGTTGGCAAATTGGGTGTAAATTGTTTCTTGTGTATAATTTCCCAAAGGGAGCCTTTGCTGCCCACAAGTAGCTGGCGGATATTTATTGAGCACCTGCTATGTACTAGGTGTTGTGTCGATGGTGAAAGGGAACCAGTGGCCTGTCCAGCTGATGACTCCTTACCCTCTCTCTGCCTCCCCACAAGGAAACTGGTGCAGGGATGAGGCCATGCTCCCAGTCACTGGTATCTCGGAGAACCCCGAACTCATGAATAATAAAGCTAATTTGAAGTGCTACTTTATATTTTGAGGGACTGGAGAGTGAGATTAAAAGAGTACATAGTGTTGTTGCCGGGCAGTGGTGGCGCATGCCAGCCCTCGGGAGGCAGAGGCAGGTGAATTTCTGAGTTCGAGGCCAGCCTAGTCCAAAGGGCGAGTTCCAGGACAGCCAGGGCTACACAGAGAAACCCTGTCTCAAAAAAAAAAAGAAGAAGAAGAAGAAGGAGGAGGAGGAGGAGGAAAAGAAAGTGCATAGTGTTTGGGAAATTCAGTACTCCAGATTCCTTCATATAGGTAGGGGGCTTTAAAATACAAATTAAGGGCAAACTGACAATGGGGGGGTTTTTTCCCAGTTCATCACTGAAAGTGAGAATTTCCAATAGTAAAAATATATAAGGTGATGACTGTTCCCTCATCCAAGGGCATTTAGCTAAAACAGAAGATCCCTAAGGACCCAAAGACGAGGTTCACACTTCGGCCTCGTGGAGTTACCTCAGTGATGATAAGCCAGGAGGCATTCTGGAAGATTACCCACCATTCTTAGAGTATTCACCATGTGCCAAGTGCCTCATTACAATTAACCCTTAGGAATTCTGTGAGGTAAACGACAAGCTTTGAGGTGCCTATTTAAACATACTGGAGGTGCACTTGACCTCCAGGTTCTCCCAGCAACTCCTAGTCCCTACCTGTTACAGGATATGGCTGTCATACCCTGCCCTCTACCCTGAACTTTCCAGACAAGAGCCTGAACTGCCTTTCCCCTAGAGACTATACTATATAATCCAGACATTTTGGTTACCTACTCCCTCTGTGTTCTCTCCCCTTCTCTCCTCTCTTTTCCTCTCTTCCCCTCCCCCACCTCTTATACTTTTATATGTTTTTATACTTTTAATCTGGCTTGAATTCACTCATTACATCCGCAGAGAAACCTACTACAGTCCACCTCACTCTTTCATACTTTGAAGCAAAGATTCATTCACGTAAGACAGCCAGGCTCTCTTCACTCAATCTCATGCTCCAAGTCACTCTGGTCCAACTTCACAGGGCGGACAGCCACTTGAAGACCCCAGATGTCTGTCTGTCCTGCTCCCTTCTCGGGCTACTAGAAATGACCAAAGGCCGAGCTGAATTCAGTATTGCACTCTCAAATCCCTAGGTTACTCTTCCCCTGACCCTTGTCCACACTAGCTTGGCCTCCAGAAAACATTCCCTCACACGCTCTACTGTCTGTAAGGCTCGGGGGCAGTGATAACTCTTCAGCCCAGGTCTCTGGCTACTCACTGTGTGTTGGGCCAGTGTTAGGGCATAAGATATTGTGAGCAATGCATCCGGGGTCAACAAGTCTTCTGTTCCCATCTAGAACCGCGCCTTTCCCTGACCCGGGAAGTCAAGAGAGATGAGAAGGGTCAAATCCTACATCAGGATCAATCTTAGGAAGAAAAGGAACCTAGTTTGGGGGAAGGGGATCCCGAAGAGTGAAACCACTTCCTGTGTTGTAGCTAGTTCCGGTGTTGACAGAGAAGTGCTGAAGGGGAGGTGGGGATGGAGGAGCAGTGTGGCAGGCTAGGGGGTTACTGAGTCTCTGGAGATGAGACGGCAGGAATCCACCCATTCAGGAGCAGGCTCCACTCCTGCAGCTGGAGTTTCTCCCGGTCCCTGTCCTCCCCTGGGGCAAGAGAGGTCAAAGGAGCTGTTTGGGTGGGAAAAAGAGGATGGAGGAAGTTGACAGAGATGGGCGGGGCCCGTGGGGGGGGCTGACCAGGAACCCAGCTTCCTGCTCACTACCCAGGCATCCAGCCCCCAGCTCACCCCCACCCCTTCCAGCCCCCATTCCCCTCAGGAACCCAAGGTTCCGGTCCTCCTCCCAAATTCCAGTCACCCCTCCCCATCAGTGTCTCTCCCCAAATCCAGGGATGGAGGCTGAAAGACCCCAGGAAGAAGATGACGAGCAGGTGAGCGGTTGGGGTGTCGGGTTGGGGGACCAACCCACGGAGAAGGGACATGTGGGGACCTAGAGCAGTATCCTAGTGACAGATGGACACAGGAGACTTGGGGAAGCTTGGGCACACCAAGACAGGAACAGAAACACGAGGAAATGGGTCACTGGCCTAGCCCTCCGCTCACACAAACACCTGACTGGAATGAACATGTCTTGGTATCAGAGTCTCCCACAGGATGATCAGGGCTGGCCCCCTGTGAACTCCACCGCTCGGCCTTGGAGATCTGCTCCTCCCTCCCCTCCTCCTCCTGGAACCCGACACACAGGTACCCCACCAACCCTGGAAGCTCTTGACCCCATCACTCAGGCTACCCCAGCATAGATCCACTAACCATCACACCTGCTGGCCTGCTGGTCTCTAACCTAATCCACCAGCTCACCTGTCTCTACCCCTTGCTACTCCATTCTGCCATAGCCTCTGGGTCTGAACCCTCCTCCCTCCTCTCCCATAGCCCTAGGGCCCCGTTCTGGCTCCCTGCTTTCCCTGCAGACTGAGCGCCTTCTGGACCTGGTGGCTGAAGCCCAGTCCCGCCGCCTAGAGGAACAGAGGGCCACCTTCCACACCCCCAAGGTCCCCCCAAGCATAGCCCCAACCCCACCCCGGCTTCTTGAAGACAAAGAACAGCTTTACAGCACCATCCTTAGTCACCAGGTAAGGCATATCCCACCCTACCCCACTCCTACCCCACCCCCATGCCACATGCACCCTTGGAGGCAAGACCCAGGTCTCCTAGCTGGCCTTCTTCCTGAGCCCTAACTTCTTTCTCTCTAAGCATACGTCTTTTGGTAAGCCTATAGTCTCTCTATCCCCATCACCGATTTCCTATCCGCCCCACACCAACCCTGGCCCCTCATTCCCAAAGCCATCACAGGCTACCAATGCCCTTCTCTCCGTCCACATTTCTAGTGCCAGCGGATTGAAGCCCAACGGTCTGACCCGCCCCTTCCCCCCGGGGGGCAGGAGCTCCTCGAGTTGCTCCTGAGGGTTCAAGGGGGAGGCCGAATGGAGGAACAGAGATCCCGGCCTCCTCCACACACCTGCTGAGACCCCAGTTCCCGACCAGTCCCTTCTCTCTGGGACTCAAAGCTGGGACACTCCCCGAAGGTCTTCAAACCCTGTTTGTCAGGGCTACCAGAAACTGAAGACCCGGCTAAAATTGCAATTATTTACCACTCATTTTCCCTGGGGACTGGACTTGGGACAAGTACTCTAACCTTGAAGATAAACAAGGTAGGGTGAACACAACTCCCTAAGACAGTTACGAGTCTCTATCCTGAGCTGTCAAGCTACTAAACCGGGGTGTGAGGGCTGAGGCCTGCCCCTGCCTAGTGAGAAGAGAAAAAAAAAAAGGCAAAGGAGTAAGACAATTGTCCCCCACGAGCACCCCCGGCCCCAAGGCACAGGGGCCCAGAGGCGGTGAAGCGACCCTTAGCCCCGTCCCCCCCACCCTGCTGCTGAGTCTGTCTGATGTTTTGTCTGTATGAATAAATATAATTCTCCTCTGGACTGAAGACTGGTATCTGGGGGTTGGGTGGGTGTGTGCAAGGTGGGTAGGTGAGGCCTGGGGCAGCGGCTCTCCGCGATCTGGCCAGAGGCCAGCTCCCCTCCCTGGCTGGTTAATTACCGGCTCATTAAGCAGCGGCTGGAGACCTCCCTAATCATCTCCCCCAGCCCCCAGTCTCCCGGTTTTAATTAAGTCGAACAAGGAGGGGAGTCATTAGAACAAGAAATATGAACCGAGCTGTCGGTGAACATTCCGGAGGCCGGAGTCCGCATCACCCGACGATGGGCTGGGAACCCGGGGGGCCGAGACGCCCTCCACCCCAGCGTCCGCTCGGCCAGCCCGGGGGCCAACCCCGGCTCTCCCCGGCCGCTCCCCGCCTCCACCCGCCGCCGCCCGGCCTGCGTCTCCCCGCCCCCGGCTCCTCCCCGTTCCTCCTCTCCTCCCCTCCTCTTCCTCCCGCTCCCCTCCCCCAGCCGCCTCCCTCGCTCGCTCCCCCTTCTCCCTCCTCCCTCCTCTCGCACACACACCCCCGCTTGGGCCTCCCCTCTCTCTCTCTCTCTCTCTCTCTCTCTCTCCGGCTCCATTTTCTCCGCCGCCGGGGGCCGGGGTCTCCTGTGGGGGTGCCCAGGCGGCACCCCGGGTCTCCCCTTCAGTGCCGGGGTGAACCCCGGAGGGGAGCCGGGAGGCGGGTTGCCGGGCGGGGTTGGGGCGGAGGGAGCAGCGGCCCCAGCGAGTTTGGGGGGGGAAGTCACCCGGCGGGGGGAGGGGCGAGCAGGGAGGGGGCCTCAGGGCCCCCCCCCCCAGCTATGGACGAGCGGCTGCTGGGGCCGCCCCCTCCGGGCGGGGGCCGTGGGGGTCTGGGGCTGGTAGGTGGGGAGCCCGGGGGCCCTGGCGAGCCTCCCGGTGGCGGAGACCCCGGTGGGGGAAATGGGGGGGTCCCGGGAGGCCGAGGGAAGCAAGACATCGGGGACATTCTGCAACAGATAATGACCATCACCGACCAGAGCCTGGACGAGGCCCAGGCCAAGTGAGTGCCCCCACCCCGGGACCCCGCTCACAGCTCTGAGTCCTCTGCAAGCCCCCCTCCCCCAGGGCCCCTCTCTGGCTCTTGCAACTCTTTTCTTTCCTTAGTTCTAGTGTTCTCTCAAAGCTTGCCTTGCCCCTAGGCCCTAAAACCTCCACAGAGGGAACCCCAGGTGGTCTCACTCCCTCCTAACCTTTTGCTGACCCCTACAGTCCACACCGGCCCATCTCCTGGCTCCCAGACTTAGAAACTGTTCTCAGCCAAAGCTGTCTTCCCTAACTCTCCGGCTAGCCCACCCCATTCTCCACTTACGGATCCAGGATCCCCACACAGTCCCTTCCACCGAGGTCGGGGCCTCCAAGAGTCCTCAACAGCCTTTCCCCTGCTCAGCCCACACACTGTACCGAGCTCCCAGGTAGCAGGGCACCCCCACTTCCAGGCCCCCTACCGCCTCGCACTGACAACCTCTGCTTCCCCTACTCCAAACCTACCTAGTCACCTTTATTTCTAAAGTCATCTCTTGATCCTTTCTCCATCTTTTTGCTTGAACCATCCCTCTTAGCCTCAGCCCGCCCATAGTGACTTTAGCCCCATTGCCTGCCTGTATCTTCTGCTTCCTGTGGCCCAGTCGCTTCCCGAAGCTATGGCAGCTGATCTCAAGAACTCCCTCCGACTCCACTCCACCCCCACTCCCACTTACCCCTCCTCACAGATTATGCCCCCACCTTGCTTCTTAGCACCCCTCTCGTCTCTCTTCTATCTGCCGCCTGAACTCTTTCTCTCCTCCCGTTCCTCCTAAGGAAACACGCCCTAAACTGTCACCGGATGAAACCTGCCCTGTTTAGTGTCCTGTGTGAAATCAAGGAGAAAACTGGTACGTCGATGTGGATGCCCCTCTGATTCTCAGTTCTGGGAGCAGGACTCTACCTTAGGGCTCAGAGTTTGACAACTTGAAGCCCTGTGGAAATTCAGCGCCACAGAGGCTACTTGAAAGGAAGTGGGGAAGGGAAGCCTGGAGACTCTGGCCTTAGAGAGACACCAGAGGACAGAGCTCTGATGGGTATGTGTATGTGTGGTTCCTGAAGTCCGCTTGCCTGCCCGCTAGGCCTTAGCATTCGGAGTTCCCAAGAGGAGGAGCCAGTGGACCCGCAGCTGATGCGCCTGGACAACATGCTTCTGGCAGAAGGTGTGGCTGGTCCCGAGAAGGGGGGAGGCTCTGCAGCAGCAGCTGCAGCCGCTGCAGCCTCCGGGGGTGGCGTGTCCCCGGACAACTCCATAGAACACTCAGACTATCGCAGCAAGCTTGCCCAGATCCGCCACATCTACCACTCAGAGCTGGAGAAGTATGAGCAGGTGAGGAGAGGCCAGCGGGTGAGGTGGCCCAGAGAGTGACGAGGACCCCAGACTCTAGAGGCCCCAAGCCACAGGGCTCCTCACCAGCCTACCCGCTCCCATAGGCGTGCAATGAGTTCACAACTCACGTCATGAACCTGCTGAGGGAGCAGAGCCGCACACGTCCCGTCGCCCCCAAGGAGATGGAACGGATGGTGAGCATAATCCACCGGAAGTTTAGCGCCATCCAGATGCAGCTGAAACAGAGCACCTGTGAGGCTGTCATGATCCTGCGGTCTCGATTCCTGGATGCCAGGTGGGGCTCAGGGACTCCTAGCCCCTGTACCTGGTCCCTTCTCATGCTTCTCCAAGACCCCTGGGCTGCCCCAGTATCCAGAAGGGCACTATAAGGATGCTACCTTCTAGAGTTCCTGGCATGCTCAATGTTTCTCTCTTTGTAGACGAAAACGCCGGAACTTCAGCAAACAGGCCACCGAGGTCCTGAATGAATATTTCTACTCCCACCTGAGTAACCCTTACCCTAGTGAGGAGGCCAAAGAGGAGCTTGCCAAGAAATGTGGCATCACCGTCTCTCAGGTACTCGAGGGGGTTCTCAGATGTTACTCGGAGAGGGGTCCTGGAGAAAGGGTTCCACTTGACCCCTCTCCGCCCAACACTGCAGGTTTCCAACTGGTTTGGTAACAAGCGAATTCGCTACAAGAAAAATATCGGGAAGTTCCAAGAGGAGGCGAATATCTATGCTGTGAAGACAGCCGTGTCAGTCGCCCAGGGAGGACACAGCCGGACCAGTTCTCCAACGCCCCCATCCTCTGCAGGTGAAGCCTACTGCCACGCTAGCTGGCTGCTTTGTGTGTTTTCCTTGAGTGTGTGAAAGACCAGGCTAAGATGGGGTGGTCATGTCAAGGGCCTTAAGTGAGTAGCCAGTTCACCAGTAGCCTGTTCAGAGGGTGGGACTCCTGTTGTGTGCATAATCTGGGTATACTTCCAGAGTGAGCATTCTGGAAGCTAAGGGTTGGGTTTACCTCCTGTCCCCCCCATCAGAGGGCCCTGCACTTTTTCTCTGACTCTCTCTCTGCCCTCCCAAGGCTCTGGCGGCTCTTTCAATCTCTCAGGATCTGGAGACATGTTTCTGGGGATGCCCGGGCTCAATGGAGATTCCTACCCTGCTTCCCAGGTCAGAAGGCCCACCCCCTCTTTTCTCTTTCATTGCTGAGTGCATGATGGGGAGGCAGGGATACGTGTGACTACGTACATATTGACGTCACAGGGCAACTCCGTGCGGTCAGTTCTACCATCTTTAGGTGGGTTCTAGATACCAAGCTCAGGTCACCAGGGTTTACTTGACAAACACCTTTACCTGCTGACCTGTGCATGCCCTGCCCCACTCCCAAACACAGAAGGCCCCTTCTAGGGTGTCCATGTGTCATGCCTTTCTGTGTATCCTGCAGGTGGAATCGCTCCGACACTCGATGGGGCCAGGGAGCTACGGGGATAACATCGGGGGAGGCCAGATATACAGTCCTCGAGAAATTCGGGTGAGTGGGTCGAAGGGCCTTGCCGCCTTCAACGTGTAGCTCTCACCAGGATGGGAGCGTGACCCCCACACTGGGATTTCCAATTCTGACTCTTACTCTTTTTTTTTACCAGGCCAATGGTGGCTGGCAGGAGGCTGTGACCCCGTCCTCGGTGACATCCCCAACGGAGGGACCAGGAAGTGTTCACTCTGATACCTCCAACTGACCTTGTCCCTCAAGGTCACAGGGCTGGGGGCTCCCACCAGGCAACTCTTAAGGAAGACTCTGGGCATCTAGAGGACAAACCCCACAGAAGCACAAAACAGAGGGCGATTGGGGTTGTGCCCTCCCCGACTAGACACTCGGTGCTGGGGTGCTGACCACATGGCAGGGATGAGTGGGGTGTCCCCGTTTCTTTTTTTCTCCCCCCTCTCACAAAAAACAGATACCTGTTTCTCAGATATCTCTCTTAAATCTATAACCTAACCCTAACACCAATTGTGTTTGTCTTGGGCTCCCCCACTTCTGCTCCCCACCCCACTTATATACTCTGGAATCTGGAGACGTCAGCCCTGCCCGACCCAGAGATGCCAAAAATGGGGACTCTTGGACAGAGGCCCTGGGCCAACACCCCCTCCCCCATGCATCCCCACCCTCTGCCCCTCCAGATGGCTTTATTACCTCATACGCAGCTCATCTTAAACCAATAGAATCGCTCGGTGGACAAGTGTCTGACTCAGATATCTACCTCGGAGGGAGTTTCTGCTACTTTAGAAAATTGTTGTCTAGTCTTTGGAGTTGGACTTTTTTTTTTTTTTTAAAAAATAAAACCTGGAATTTTTTTTTTTTTTTTTTTAAATTGTTTTTTGTTGGTAGTGGTGATCCTTGATTCTTAATAGTTTGAAGAATTGAGATTTTGGGTGTGTGTGTGGGTGTGTGTGTATGTTTTAAATAAACATGCTGATTTATTTTTGTTTACCCACGTGAGAAGAGCGAGCCAAAGGGGCCTAGTAAGAGAACAGACAGAACTGGTGCTGGCTACTTGCTCCAGGCCTACCAGTGGGGAAGTGGATTTTGTAGGACACCGTGTCCTCAGCTTGGACACTTAGGTGTTTCTTAGCTTGTGCAGGCAAATCTCTGCTGTATCTGACTTGGAGCACGACGCCCCCGTAGCCTTCTGACTCCCCCACACCTCCCCAATAACCTTTGGGCAAGTCTGGACTGAACTCAATGATTTTGAAAAAGTCAAAAGGCTTTTTCTTTGTTTTTGTTTCGTTTTTTAAAAACTTTGCAGAGTGGAGAAGATTAATGGGGGAGGGGAGTTCTTGCCAAATAAGCTATGTATGGGCTGGATGCTTCTATACGTTGTCCATCCCAGTTTCCCAGAAATAAGTGTTTCTGTTCAGTTCTTAATCTCATGCCAAAATCAAGGAGTTGGGGAGAGGAGGGAGGTCACAGAAAGTCAGGTATGAGGGAAGGTTAAAGAATCTCAGCCCTGAACCCTTCTATCAGACCCCCCTCAGACATCCTCAGGGTCTTCAAGATTGTCACAGTGGGAAACCCCTCCCATTCAAGGCCCAGGCTGGACTGAGGGGCTTCGTGAAGAGGTCGGTGGGAGGCGGGGGCTGGGGGCAGTTTCTCTCCTCGCTTGTCAACTTGTAGATTCACAGAAAAAGGAAATGGCAGTTTTAAATAAAGAGATTTCTTTTTCCCCTGGGTTTAGTTGAGAATTTTTTTTTCCAAAAACAAAAAAAAACTCCCCCAAAAGAGTAATTCTTACAAAGCTCTAAGAGGTTTGGGGCCAGCCCTCACTACAAAGATGTATCCAGAATGACAACAGACCATGTTGCCTAACCTGCCCAGGTCAAGACAGAGCACTAGTGAACCTCTGGGACCCATGAATGTGGTGGGCTGAAGGAAATGAGGTCGTATTGGTGTAGAATCCAACCCCAGGGAGACGCTGTGCCTGGAGGCTGCCAGGGCCCTCAGGTGGGGTGAGGTTGCTTCTAGTACCTGAAGGACTCTTGTCCGAGAAGCATGGATTCCTGGCATTCTCTGACAGAACAAGATGGGAGATGGGGGCAGGGTAGAGGGTGCAAGCCCCACCTAGGGCAGCCGCCAGAGTGGGAAGAGGGGCAGACAGAACCAGGAGCCTGGGAAGGAAACACCATGCCGGCAGGGACAGCAGCTGGAGCCTGGGTGCTGGCTCTTGCTCTGTGGGGTGAGCCACTCCCAGCCCCACCAACTCTCCCCCTCAGCAGCCCTGCTCCCACCCCCCTAGTACCTCCTTTCTCCATAGAAATCCCCCTGAACCTGGGTACCACTTTCCAAAGACCCTCACCCTCCCTGTCCTACACCAACCAGCCCCACCTCTCCCCTTCCACCTTCCTACAACGATGCTACCACCCAGGAGCCGTAGCTGGTGGTCAGAACATCACAGCCCGGATTGGAGAGCCACTTGTGCTAAGCTGTAAGGGGGCCCCTAAGAAGCCACCCCAGCAGCTAGAATGGAAACTGGTAAGCAGGACCCCATACTCACCTGGCCACTCACTCAACCTCAGGAGCTATCCTTGAGGGTCCCCAGCATCCCATCCTGCCTAGGTAGTTCTTGCCCAGAGGGACCAGCCTGCTTAGGTTTTTCTCTTCTTTGCAGAACACAGGAAGGACTGAAGCTTGGAAGGTCCTCTCTCCCCAGGGAGGCCCATGGGACAGTGTGGCTCGAATCCTCCTCAATGGTTCCCTCCTCCTTCCAGCTATGGGAATTGTCGATGAGGGAACTTTCCGGTGTCGGGCAACTAACAGGCACGGGAAGGAGGTCAAGTCCAACTACCGAGTCCGAGTCTACCGTAAGGCTTCCTGGCCTCTGCTCAGTCACTTTGAATTTAACAAAAAGCCTTCATTTACCCCTGACCCTTGACTCTTAACCCTGGTGTGTCTGGACCTCTGATCTCCACTGCCCTTCCTCCCATTGCTGGAGTGTGAGACCCTCCAAAGGCAGGCTTATGACTGAATTTTCCCTCCAGAGATTCCTGGGAAGCCAGAGATTGTGGATCCTGCCTCTGAACTCACAGCCAGTGTCCCTAATAAGGTAGAAAAACAAGAAAATAGAGAGGGCCCTTTGAATGCAGATGTGTGCCTACATTGCCTTCCACAGAGTCAGAGGGTGAGGTCCCCATTCTTCCTCCAGGTGGGCACCTGTGTGTCTGAGGGAAGCTACCCTGCAGGGACCCTTAGCTGGTACTTGGATGGGAAACTTCTGATTCCTGACGGCAAAGGTGAGAGACAGGGTGCCCTACACCCAGCTCCCTTCTTCTGCTGTCCCTCCATACCATTCTGGGCGTTTGACCTCACTGCACCCACTGCAGGAACAATTGTGAAGGAAGACACCAGGAGAGACCCTGACACAGGACTCTTCACACTGCGGTCAGAGCTGACAGTGACCCCAGCCCCAGGAGGAGCCACCCATCCTACCTTCTCCTGCAGCTTCAGCCTGGGCCTTCCCCGGCGCAGACCCCTAAACACAGCCCCCATCCAGCCCCGAGTCAGGGGTGGGTACGGAGGGAGGCAGGGGTCAATCCCGGGACCATCAGGCCGGCTGCCAGGTGTCCTGATGGACTTCATGCCCATCCCCACCCAGAGCCCGTGCCTCCAGAGGGCATTCAGCTGCTGGTTGAGCCTGAAGGTGGAACAGTTCCTCCCGGTGGGACTGTGACCTTGACCTGTGCCATCTCTGCCCAGCCCCCTCCTCAGATCCACTGGATAAAAGATGTGAGTGCCTGGGAAGGCCTGAGATCGAGAACGGCAGGCAGGGAACTAACGCCCGGACGGGCAGCCTGAGAGCCGGGCGGGCTGGGAGACGGAATAGTGCGGCTGTGGAGATGAAGAGTCCAGGATGTGTGGGCGGGGTGTCTAACAGTCTCCTGACCCTTTCCCACCAGGGCGCACCCCAGCCCCGTGCCCCCAGCCCCGTGCTGCGCCTCCCTGAGGTAGGGCATGAGGATGAGGGCATCTATAGCTGCGTGGCCACCCACCCTAGCCACGGACCTCAGGAAAGCCCTCCTGTCAGCATCAGGGTCACAGGTAACCCCTCCCCAAATCCCAGGGACAGGCAGGGACAGGGGGAGGGGGGAAGGCTGGGGTGAGGGACACAAGACTCCAACTCCCTACCCCCTCAGATGTGAACCCCAATAGCCACGCCACCCCTTCCTCAGTGCACCCAAAAGCGTGTCAGGAGGGAAGTCCAGCTTCTCCACTGAGGGGGGATGCCACTGGGCCTAAGTTCAAGTCTTCCCTCTGACCACTTTTTTTTCTTCCAGAAACCGGCGATGAGGGGCCAGCTGCAGGTGAGGGACTGAAGTCAGAAGCGTAGGGCTGCGGCGTGTAACTGGGGTCACGAGGAAGGAGCTGTGTGTGCTAGAGCTCTGCCCTCAATCTTCCCTATGTCCCTACAGGCTCTGTGGGTGGGTCTGGGCTGGGTACGCTAGCCCTGGCCTTGGGGATCCTGGGAGGCCTGGGAATAGCCGCCCTGCTCGTTGGGGCCATCCTGTGGCGAAAACGACAAGCCGGACTCGAGGAGAGGTGAGTGAAAGCCTACGGTTTCCAGGCAGCAAGTGAGGGCTGTCACAGCAGGCCAGTGGAATGCCACAACACTGTTCCTTCTCAGGAAGGCCCCAGAAAGTCAGGAGGACGAGGAGGAGCGCGCAGGGCTCAATCAGTCGGAAGAAGCTGAGACGCCAGATAACGGTGCAGGGGGACCTTAAGAGCACCCAGGCAGACCCTGTCTCACTCTTTCGACTTGCCCTTCAGTTGTGCTGGCCCCGCAGCTCCCCGTGTATGATCCCAATTTGACCTTGAGGCACTTTCTTCTCCAACCAGAGCCCACATGATCCATGCTGAGTAAACACCTGACAAATGTCGCCGGCTTGTTGTCTGTGTGCGGGAGAGAGGCAACCTCACTCCGGCATCCCTGGGGACCTTGCAGGGAGGGACCCACTCCATGCCTCACACCATACCAACGTCTACTCAGGCTGGTCAGAGTGGCACTGTCCTGGAAGGAGAGACTGGGGAGACTTCCCAACAGTGCATTTCACCTTTTTTATTATTATTTGAATTTGTAATAAAGGAGGTAGTGAGGGATGGAAAGAGACACTCAAAAAGAGTCAAAATTCATATTAGACAGTGAAGGGAGAAAAATTAAATTAAGTCAAGTGGAGGAGTTGAGGAGAGCCCACCTTTAAACACCAAATCAAGAAATCTGGGGGAAAGCAAAGGATTGGGAGAGGGGAGAACTGGACACCTGTCTGTCTGTCCGTCCTCCAGGCTGGGAGTGTCTGTGCTACTGGGCCAGCAGTACACAGCAGCAGGCAATCCCATCATAAGGAGACTGGTCACTCCTCCCCATCCCCTCCTGAGGGAGGTCTCAGCAGACAGAGATAGGTCATGGAAGTACGGGGGTCGTCCAAAAGCAAGGGAGGGCCAGCAAGGGACTCCCAATACTGATTTTCCTCTAGCTGGAGGTGGGTGGGGAGGAGACACCGCTCAAATACTGAGCAGCCAGAAAAAGAAAAAGATGGCGAGGAACAGGAACAGGGAATCTTGCCAGCTGGAGGCCGGGTGACCCTGTCCCAGATCCACACCTGTAGGGGAAAGGTAAGCTTCAAAAGCTTGTCGGGCCAGGAGAGGGCTCTGGTGGAAGATTAGGGAAAATATTTACCTGCGCCCCTTCGGAAAGGCTCGTGGGCATTGAACACGGTGGTGAAAAAGCCAAAGGGGAAGGCACCAACACCAAAGGAGAAGTGGAATCCCCCGGCATCACCGAATGGCTGGAACCCCTAGGGAGGCAGGGAAGATCAGGGAAACCCACAGGCTTGGGCATCAGAGGGATACAGCAGTACAAGGAGACTCACCCCTCTGCTCTCTGGAGCTGGTCGTCGGCCCTGAGGACGGGGTGGAGTTTTCAATCTGAGAGGAAGGAGAGAGGCAGTCAGCATTCTCACACTCTGTCTTGGGACAGAAGCCTTCATCACCCCCTCAGCATCCTGTCGGGTCTCACCTGGGATCCTGTGGCTTCTGGCTACCTCGCCCATAAAGAGGGACAACCTTCTCCCTGCTGATGCCTGCTTTACACACTGGGCACTCTTGCCGGTCTGGCCGCGTCTCCAGCCACTGGAAAGAAAATACGAAGTGTTTTCAAGAACAAAGAGGGTCTCCGAGCTCCTTGACCCTCCCTGATTCCCAGATTACCTCATGAATACATACCTGATGGAGACAGGGCCAACTGGATGAAAAAAACAAAAAAAAAACAAAAAGCACATGTCAAACTACAGGAAAGAGCTGCAGACCCCAGGACTTGGAAGCCCACTGCCACTGTCCCAGGTACTGCTCCTACAGTGCCACACTTCTCTCCGGACTTCAGACAGCTTCTAGCATACTTGCTAACTTGACTTTTCCAACTTCGCTGATACTCAAAGTTCAAAGGTACTTACATTTGATCCTCAACGTCCTGGACACATTCTATCCTTTTCTCTCTTCCAGTCTCTTCTCTGTCTCTCCCTGTCTCTACACACACACACACACACACACACACACACACACACACACACACACTCCTCCTTCAACCACTCCCCTTTCTGCCTCAGAACTTGACTTCCCAATTCAACAGGTTTCCTTTCAGCCAGAACTCCTGGTCCTAATCCTCCAGACTCCCATGATTAACATACACCCACACTGCTGCTTTCCTTCTTACTTCAAGCTCAGTAAAATCCCTCTCTCCGTGACCCATAACCTCTCCATCTGTCCTTACACAACGCCCTCGTCCCCAGGTTTGACAAACCACCCCTTCCCACATCTCATTTTAATATGGCCCACACCTAGGCCCACGGTCCCTAGATCTTTCCCTCCTCCACCGACAGGCACATTCCCTAAACTGAAAAGTCATCTATTTTTTAATCTCAACAGCTGGGTAGATCTAACGGGGTACTGTGGTTCAGGTCTCACATGCAGGAATATATAGTACCCCCCATTTCCCATCCCTCATAACGTCACACACCAGCTCCTAAGACCCTCCCTTCCAGACTGCGCATCTGCACAGACGTGACCCTTCCCGCTCCCCCATCTCATATACACATACCAGCAAAGATACAAGTCCCCACTTCAGGCCTCCCCTACGTGTATGTGGGGCGGGGATGGGGGACCCTTGGGTCATCGGGAAAAAAACTGCATGGTCCCCGCTCTCGACCTCCCCAGCACACAGATGGGCCCCGTCGCCTCACTCCAAGCCCCTGACTCGGATTCTCACCAATACAGGTGGCCACACACGCTGACCACAGCTTCGCGAGCTGTCTCCAGACATATATTACATTCGAAGGTCGCGCTCGCCCCGCCCCGCTCGCGATTTGGCCCTTCGGGGCCCCCGTCCTCTTCCTCTGCTGCTGCCATGGCAAGTTCTGCTTCGCCCCCACGTAGCCCTCAGGACCCCCAGGCACAGACACATAGACACTCACACACAGCGCACACACACTCACGCCCCAACAAAGCGGGACCGCCTTCTGCCCACGATCGTTGGGCAGACTTCAAGGTTTTCTCATCAGTATTGGTCGAGGTGCCTGCCAATCATACAGGATTCAAAGGACACGATTGACCCAAAGGGTGGGGGCGGGAAAAGGTGTGGGTCCAACCCTTGCGCGATGATGATTGGCTGATCAGGCTTCAGTCACTATGCACTGCCGCGGGATTGGTAATAATGAGCTAGGCCGTGTGTTGTCGCTCGGCTACAGAGGCTCTGATTCGTCTGTACAGCTGCCAGTCATAACCAAAGCTCAGAAGGGATTGGCTGAGGCCTACGGAACTCGCCCACTCTGAGCCGCTTTCTTTCCTTCTCTTCCTCTTTTGAAGAATGTCCGGGTTCCTATTGGACTTTCGAGCGAATGGTTCCGAATCAAATGATTGGCTGGCGAGACACGGAAGGATGAGCATGCGCAATAAGCGGGGAAGGGGGGCGTGGAATGGGCCAACCCGACGATCACTCTATCTCGTCACCATGGCAACCCCTCCGCTATTGGCGGGGCCTAGAGTTCAAAGGCTTTGGCTCGACCTCATCCGGGTCTTTCGTCCGGGACACGCACACTCTCTCTCCGCTTGATTGGGCGGTTTACTTCGCCGCTGATTGGCCGAGATCCCGGAGAGACGGTGTAGAGCTCGGGGTGGCATAAAAGGGCAGAAGTACCAGGGTCGCAGGGTTCAAGATGGCTCCGGCCTCCTTGGGTGACGTAGAGGGGAGACCTTGGGTCCGCCCCTCCCTCTTGGAGAAGCGGGGAGCAGAGCTGGGGCTAGCCCGACGTGTGGATGGTGCGGCCGTCGGTCTGTGGCGCTGCTGTTAACCCCGCTCTCTCGGTTGGACGACTCAGCCTCTCTAGGTGATTCTCACGGCAGGACCGAGCCAAAGGCTCGCCGCTGTGATGTGACACGGCAGACCACAGTGGACCTCCGTCCTAAACCTTAAGAGCAGGAAAGGACTGGTTCCACCCCCTTATGAGTGGGCGCCCAAAGACCAGAGCCCGACTCTTAGGTGACCCGCCGCCGCAGGATGGTGTAGATCCGCCCCTTGCTTGTAATTTGCCCTGCAGTGATTTGGATCTTCTTCCTGGCTGGACCGCTGGCAGCTTGGGCCTTTCCTACACTCAGTGACCCTCACTGTGGCCCAAGGCCCAGAATTAGGTAACAGTCCTCTCACTACCAAGGGATCTCTTCATCAAGTCATGTAAATCATCCAGGGCAAAGGTGTCCATGGGCGGGCGACAATAACAGTCTAGCTAAGGATTGTCCAATACCTTGATTAAAAGGCCCTGTGTGACTGAGGAATAAAGAAAGGTGAGAAGCTGGGACTCTCGGGTACGGAGAAGCGAAGATTCTGGAGTGTCGAAGAGGTTTAGATGCTCAAGTGACTATGGAGGTAGGAGTATGGAGCCGTCCAGAGTATGAGGAAGAGGGAAGGTTTGGCCAGTCGGATACACGGCTCATCCCGTCACTCCATCACCCGTAGGAAGCAGTGTTTTATTGCTCAAATTCCATCGAAAGGAAGGACTTAAGATTCTTACAAGGCTCAAACTCTGGGTACTCCTCCCCCAGGCTCTCACGTGCTGCTATTGCAAGCATACCCCCCACCAAAGCCAGCAGCCAGCTTGTGTGTCGAGGGGAGGGGTTGCCTCCGACTGGGTGAATGAAGAACTAGGAAAGTACGTAGGCAAACAAGCTTGAAAGGGAGAGAAAGGTCAGAGGGCCCCTTTATCTTTAAAGACCTAAGGTGGGTGGAGGAGATGGACACCCGGGACAAAGGGCAAGCGGACAGAAAGCTGGAGAGCTATTCAGGGAAAGCCGGAGTCCTGGACAAAAAAAGGTGAACCCGATGCTTGAACCCAGAAGGTACTTCACAAACGTTTTGTGGCTGAATGGAGGTGGTGGTGGGGGGCAGGAAAAGGGGGCGTTTGGGGGAATCCTAGAGTTACAGAGCGCTGGGGTTCAAAGAAAGGCAACGACGGGGTCAGAGAGCGTGCGAGCGAAGCCAGACGATGCGGAGGGAGAGAGGGGGGGGGGAGCCAGGGTCCCAGGTGCTGAAGCCGCGGACCGAGCGAGCGACGTAGCTGACCGAGGCCGCGAGCGCCACTGAGCACCCCGGGGCGGGGCCGGCGAGAGGCCTGGCAGGCGCGGGGAGGAGATGCGGGTCCCCGAAGAGGCGATTGGCGAAGCCCGCTGCCCATCATAGCCCCCCACTTCCTGGCCGGCCCCGGAAGTCAGCGGGCGCTGGGAGGGGTGGGGGAGATAGCGGCGGCCGTAGCCCCGGCCCTCAGAGAGCCGGCAGGGAGGGAGGGAGGGTGTCGGGGGTACGGACCCACCACCACCACCGTTCCTACCGATATGGGCCCAGCTTCCCACTCCCACCACCCCTCCATCGGCCGGGGCTAGGACATCCCCAAATCCTGTCGCCCCCCTTGGCACCGACACCGAGACAGAGATACAGCCAGCCGCCACCACCGCTGCCGCAGCCTGGCTGGGGAGGGGGCCCGTCCCCCAGGCTCCCCGCCCCATTGAGGTGTGGGCGGGAAGGGGGTGGGAGGCTGGGGAGGAGGGGGCCGAGAGGGACGGAGAGGGACGGGGATGGGGAGAGATGGGGCCGGGAGGCCCGGCCGGGGACAGGGGTGCTGGGGAGGGAGAGAGGGGGCCTGAGCGGAAGAATGGGAGCGACGAGGGCTGGGGGCTGGCTCCGGCCGGGGCGGAGGGGCTCGCTCCGAGTGCCAGAGGCGGGCGAGAGGAGGGATGGTAACTCCGAATTGGGGACGGGGGGTGTGGACAAGGGGGCGAGTCTTGGAGAGGGGAATCCCTCCAGGTTTCCCAGCCCTTCTGCTGCGTCTCGGCCCCACATGACTTCTGGGTGGCGGTGAGCGGCCAGGACTGCTTCCCAGGAATGCTGTCAGGCACCCGTTAACCTCCAGGCACAGAAGCGCCTCTCGGGAAGCGGCCTTCCACCCAGAGACCCTCACTCACACACGAGTGTCCCGTGGGAGGCCCCGAGTGCCTTGGATAGGTGGCATAGCTCACGTCCAGCCCTGTGCTCTCCCCGGGCTGTAGAGAAAGACGTTTAAACTCCCAAAAGAATGGCTCTCCTGTTTCACGCCCATGCGTAAAGTTGAGTTTGTGACAGGCTCCAGTGTCAAATTGGTGTGAGGACTTGGCGTGTTACACCTGTTGGGCGTTTGTTTCCACATTGCCTACATGCTCTGTGTCGTCCCCTGTCTGACTTAGCTTAGTCCCTCGGCCTCACAGGTGTTCAGTTGCCGAGAGTGCAGGATTCTTCCTCCCGTGTGGGATTCAGGGTCTTTGGCCCTGTTGCGACCACCGCAGCCTGTTCTACTAGTCGTGGTTCTCCCCAGAGGTCTGCGTGCCCCGTGGTGTGACGACACGTCGGTGTGGCCCAACTATATAGCGTGTACCGGTTGTACCTGCCATTTATTTCGTAAAGTCACTGTCAGTGTGATCGCATGCTCATTAGCCCGTTTGACATTGCAATGTGTTTATGGATCTTCAAACATTTCCGTCTAGAGATGATCATCAGACCATGTGTTAAACAAGTGTTAATTCCGAAAAGTGTATTTTTGTTGCTTTGTTCTGAGATAGAGTCTTACGTAGCCCTGGCTAGCCTGAAGCTCACCTGTCTCTGCCTTCTGAGTGCTGGGATTAAAAGCGCATGCCACCGTGTCCAGCTAAGAATTCTTTTTCTTTTTTATCCCCCACTCCCTGGCAGTTTCACATACCCTAGGCTGGCCTTGAGCTTGACATTTAGCCAAGGCTAGCCTGGTATTCCTTACATGCATGTCTTACAACACCCGTGTCCCAAAGGACCGGTCTTCCTCTGCTTTACTTTGCTGACCACCCGACCTGTCTCTTCCCATCTGTTTCTTTCCATGAGCTGTATTCATAGTCTGAGTCACTGCTTAATGCAAGTCTGCCCTGTGGCGAGCCCCCAGTGCCTGTATTCACGGATGGACCGCTGTCTGCCCCACTCTTTGTACAGTTGGCACATTTGATGACAGGAGTGTGGTGGCATGTTGGTCCCGCCGTGCACACAGTGTGAGATGGCATCTTCGTGATGTGGCTTCTGTCCCCATGGCTTCCCCGTGGCCATGTCTGTTTACAGTGGGCTGCTCCAAGGCTTGTTGATGTGGTCACTATTTGGCGGGATGGGGGTCAGGTGACTTTTGCTAATTAATATACCTAAAGAAGGAAGCCGTCTATGACAAGCAGAGCCGCCCAGAGCCGCCCAGCCCTGGCCTTGCGAGTATAGCTCGGTAGTAGAGCACTTGCCCAGCATTGAAAGTCTTGGCACCGCAGAAGCAAAATGAGAAGAAGCAGAAACGAGTCACACTGCCTAGCATCAGCTGAACAATTGTGGTCGTGTCTGTTACCAAATAATCCCTTCACCAAGATTTGCTGGGCACCGTGTGTACCTGCTTCTGTCTGGGCATTGGAAGTAAGACATAATCCCTGGCCTGAAGTCTCTTACGGTCTGGAGGAAGCTGGGCAGGAAAAAAACCCAGTGAACGTTTACCCAAAGCCTGTTATCATCATCAGTAGTTGTCAAAGCCAGCGAACGTCCCACTTACCTGGAAGGCACGTTAACATACAGGTTGGCCTGGCGCAGGGCCTCACGAAGTATGGGTGAGGCTCACAAATTTATATCTCTACGCCTTGACAACCACTGATCGTGCCAGCGTGGTGGCACACACCTTTGGTCTCAGCACTCAGGAGGTGCAGGCAGGAGCATCTTTCGTGACCACTCTGGGGATATGCTAGAGCAATTGAGAAAATTTGTAACGAAATCGTGGGCCTGTCCAGGTTCCAAAAGACATTGGAAAGCCGGGCTGGGTGAAGCAAGAGGTGGCAGGGCCTGCCAGCCAGAAGGAACAGTGTGCTCAGCACACAGAAGCATGTGGGTCTGTGGCAAACCTGGGCATGTGAAGTCAACTGTTTTGGAGATGGGGGTCACAGAAGCGCAAGTCAACTTTTCAAAAAAGGCCTTTTGGAGAGACTTGTTCAGATTGAGGTGACAGCGTCTCTGGCAGCCACATGAGGAGGGGTGAAGGGCACACTGACTGCAAGCAGTGTACAGCCCAGGGATTGAAGATGCTGGGCAGAGCAGTTAGAAAGCCCACTGTTTCCAGTTCTGGCGGGTAAGGGTGGGGGCGGGCCTTCCTCTGAAAGGAAGAGCCTTTGGCCTACTTGGAGAGACAGGTATAGAACTGCCTTTTTATCACCTGTGAGGCTGCCTCCAGCAGTGGGGCAGAGTGGAGTACAGAGGAAGGGCCCAGAAGGCAGGTTCTGCGTGTTCTCCTTCATATCTTCCTGCTTGAACCTCTTCCTGTCCTGGCAGGGATTAAAAGTTCCTTTTACTGTATTTCCTTGTTATGGCCTCTCACACAATTCTGCCCGCCCTCGTTGCCTCCATGAGGCTAGGAGGAGAGACCGAAAGGCTGGGTTTGTGCCTGTCTGTGGAAGCGAGTTGGTATGTTGGCTGTAGGGGCACAAAGGTCTCCACTCGGGGAGAAGAGAGTCTTCTAGTCATGGATTTACTGTATCTGTCACCTGGTTTGAGAGTAAATTTGTGTTTGTGTGTCAGTGTATTAGCCTTGGCATGCCAAGAGTTTTGTATCTGTGACATGAGCCTCTGTTCCTGTTCCTCAGTGTTTGTCGGGCATTGTTTCCACGTCTTGAGTGTGTGTGTGGGGGGGTGCTCGTGTGTGTGTGTGTGTGTGTGTGTGTGTCCATGCGGTGACAGTATGGTAGGATTAGGTTTTACCTAGGCTGCCCGGCTCCTCTGCAGGCAGCAGCTTCTGCCGGGCAGCCTGAGGTAAAGCTCTTCCCTAGAGCCATTTCCTGTGAAAGCAGTGAAGCAAATTGTAAACTACTAGGTGGACCATACATAGGGTTTACCATAGACCAGCGATATCCACCAGACAGAAAATGGGGCTGCCCTTTAGTTTTAAACTTTTAATAACCACAGGCAAAGAGAAACAGTGAGGTTCATTTTGTTAGTGTCTTTAACCGAAGCCAGAAGAACCAGAAGGAGTTGGTAAAAGATTAGGTCAGGTAGTAGGACTCTTAGCTTGTGTGCACAGGTCGCTCGCTCCGCACTGGGAGGTGGGGTGAGAATTAATGGGATGGCTTACCTGTCTGTTTTTCACCTAGAATCCTCAAGAGCCTGGTGTTCATTTAACAATCTCAGTCCCTCCCCATTGGAAGTGGACGGTACACGTATAAACTATTTGTCCAGAGCAGGTTGTGATGCCCCGTGCCTGTCACCTCGGCATGTGTGAGACAGAGGAGTGTTGGTCACTATGAATTAGAGCCCAGCCTGGGCTACAGAGTTCAAGGTCAGCTTGAATTGGAATGAAACTTTGCCTCAAAAAGCATAGTGCTTCCCAGCCACTGCATTAGCCACCGTGTTAGCCACCAGTGTCGCTCCCTGCTGTGCCCCTTCACTTACCTGAGAGTGCATGTGTTTGTGGCTCTTGTCTGTCTGCATCTAGAGTCCTGGAACAGCAGAGAAGAGCTGTCTGACTGGGTTCCTCCCCATTCTGGATCCTTGGAACATCTTTCGGCTTTGCCCATTGTGCCTGGTTAACCAGGCTCCTCCTGTCCACAGGTGACTAGAATGGAGCTGTGGCCCGGGGCCTGGACGGCGCTGCTGCTGCTGCTCCTCCTGCTGTCCACCCTGTGGTTCTGCAGCTCCAGTGCCAAGTATTTCTTCAAGATGGCCTTCTACAACGGCTGGATCCTCTTCCTGGCTATACTCGCAATCCCCGTGTGCGCCGTGCGAGGACGCAATGTCGAGAACATGAAGTAAGAGTCGGAGGGGTGAGGAGTGGTGGGTCCCGAGGGGGAGAAGGGAGTGGGGGATTGGCAGGGGAGAAGAACCCAGACACAAACCCAGAGACAAGGATGGGGGAGAGGACACAGAGGTGTCCAGAATGTGAGGAGTAGGTAGGGGGCACAGAGGCGGGTAAGTGGGTGTCAGTGGATCCCACCGGGCCCCCTTGCCGTGACCCCACAGGATCTTGCGTCTGATGCTGCTCCACATCAAATACCTGTATGGGATCCGAGTGGAGGTGCGGGGGGCTCACCACTTCCCTCCCACGCAGCCCTACGTTGTTGTGTCCAACCACCAGAGTTCCCTCGACCTGCTTGGTGAGGCCTCACAGGGCCCGGTCCTCTGCAGAGCCTTCTCTTCTGGCCCCTCCCCACACCTGCTTCTCCCTCTTCTTGGGTGTCACCCTTCCTTGGGCCTCCTTCCCTTGGGGTGGGTCACCCGTCCTCAGCAGGTTACCTGTGTCAGCTTCCTTCGTTTCTCAGGCCTTTTCCAACCCACTCTTCAGTGTGTGTGGGTGGTGACCTGGGGTGGGTGGCGGTGCCTCCTACGATGCTGCTTGTGCCCTGATCCATCCCCCATCCCCCACCCCTGCCAAGGAATGATGGAGGTACTGCCAGATCGCTGTGTGCCCATTGCCAAGCGTGAGCTACTTTGGGCTGGCTCTGCCGGGCTGGCCTGCTGGCTGGCAGGAGTCATCTTCATTGACCGGAAGCGCACAGGAGATGCCATCAGTGTCATGTCTGAGGTGGCCCAGACCCTGCTCACCCAGGATGTGAGTCTTCCTCAGATGGGGGTTTGTGGACTAGGGAGTCAGTGCTGTGTCCTTATCACAGCGTGGCAGCTGTTGACCCTCCTTACATGTTTACTGCCTCTCCATCAGGTGAGAGTCTGGGTTTTTCCTGAAGGAACGAGAAACCACAATGGCTCCATGCTGCCCTTCAAACGAGGCGCCTTCCACCTTGCAGTCCAGGCCCAGGTGATCACAGCATCTGCTCGCCTGCCCGCCCGTTAGCACCCAACCCACTGCTCCCTGCCCAGGACTCAGGTGCTCACTGCTCTGTCCCTCTCAGGTCCCCATCGTCCCCATCGTCATGTCCTCCTACCAAGACTTCTACTCCAAAAAGGAACGGCGCTTCACCTCGGGTGAGTTCACCGATTGACGCCTCTGGGCAGGGTGTAGCCAGGAAGCGCTTGGGAGGCTTCGGAATGTCCCTGAGGCGGGGGATCTTAAGTACCCACTGGGCATGGCAGGTAGGTAAGTACCCGTCTCTCCCAGAGGACTACTGTCACGGTCTGAGGGGGACAGAGTTGCTGGTGTGTGCAGAGCTGGACCCATGACTGCAGTGTGACAGAGGCCTGGGGAGTTTGTCACTGTTGGTCAGAACAGGACGGTGGAGGGAAGGCGCAGTAGTGGGATTGCCCTACAGTTGGCCAGAGTGCTGGTCACACTTGACACTGTTCGTCATGCCACCAGGACGATGTCAGGTGCGGGTGCTGCCCGCAGTGCCCACAGAAGGGCTGACACCAGATGATGTCCCAGCTCTGGCAGACAGAGTCCGGCACTCCATGCTCACCGTCTTCCGGGAGATCTCCACTGATGGCCTGGGTGGTGGCGACTGTCTGAAGAAGCCTGGGGGAGCGGGCGAGGCCCGGCTCTGAGCTCCACCCGTCCTCCCCTTCCTCCTCCCCGTACCTCTGACCCGGGGCCTGGGGCAGGACCAGGCCCTCCTCCCGGGTCCCCACTCCCTACTCTCCCTTTGGAATCCTCAACTTCTGAAGTGAATGTCACTCCGTGCTCTCTCCCTGCCCCACCTGTGGACTCTCCTGTGTGGGTGCAGTCTCCACTCGGAGCCCACCTGCCATCTTGTCTTGTGGGACAGTTGCTTCCCCTCATCTCAAGTGGCTCAGCCGATACAAGGGTGGGAGACATGCCTCCCCAGCCCTTCCCCACTGGTCTCTTTGTGGCCTTCTCTCCCTCTCTGCCCTACACTGGACAGTGGACTCATGCGTTCTGTGGGACATCCATCCTTCACCCCCAAGTCCACAGAGTGACTGGGCTCATCTTCTCGTGAGGACTCCTCATCCTGTGGCTGGAAGCTGAACCTGACACTCCTCACAGGCTCACCTGGGGACTGCCTCGGCACCATCACCCTCAATGGGGCTGTCACCCTCAATGGGGCTGGCTCTTGTAACTCAGAGGTCTCGTCCCTGCCTGTGCCAGGGGCTGAGCACACTCCAGATTCCAATTTCTGGTCCCCCTTGCCTTCCCCCTGCCCTGGGTAGTGGTCTTCAGGGTCCTGGCCCAACACCGTCTAACCAAATTCTGGAGAGGACGACGCCAGAAGCTGCTCTCTGCTCCCTGGAGCCTTAGAGAACCTGACCCAGCAAGAGGGAGAGGAGGGCGCTTAATTTATTTCTTTTTTCTTTTGAGGTACCTCCCTCTCTGAGCCAATTTTCATTTCCTCCCAGTGGCATTGGCCACCCCCTGCCTCCCACTCTAGACCCATTCCTAAAGCCCAGGAGGTAGGCTGGGGGAAGAAGGAACAGGCGGGATCCAGTTTTGTGTGGTTGGTTTTTATTATCTGGATAACAGCAAGCAACTGAAAATAAAAAGAAAGAGAGACGCGGGGTTCTCTGCGGCCCATTGCACCTCAGTGGGTGATACCCAGATCTGAGCCCAGGTTAGCAGTCGTAGCTTCAGTATAAGTTGGTACCCCAGCTACCGTGGGCGTCCTTCGTCATCCGCGGAGGCTTGGCCCCAGGCCGTTGTCCTCACAAGCACCTGGTCAAGGGCAGAGAGGCAAGGTGGCTGTGGTCTGGAGGGAGGGCCCTGCCAGTCACCCAACAATACACAAGTGGCCTGGGGACCAGATCCTGTGTGGGAGGGTTTCAGGAGTGAAATGCTGACTTGAGGCTGGGTCGTGGAGGAGGAGCAGGGGACTCACAGGCACCCAGCCTCTCCTCCAGCAGCAGCACCTGGTCACTGAGGGACTCGATCCTGTCACCCTGGCCCCAAAGCTCAGCCACCTGTTCAGGCCTCAGCTCTTCAGGAGGCACGGGCAGCACCGCTCGAACCCAGGCCCCAGCCTGCGTGGCCCACTACAAAGGAAAGCGGTACCTCAGGACACTGGCATGGTCCCAGCAACACCGGCACCCATGCCTCTCCCAGCCACTTACCTGCTCCAGCCTCTCCAGCCGCCCACGGAGGTCTGCAACCTCCCTGCTCATGGCGCGCTCCTCGCCTTCTGCCTCCCGAACTAGGACAAAGGAGAATGCGAGGGTGGCCTCCCCAGCTGCACGGACCAGGCCCACCCCACAGGTGTCCCACACCCACCCGCCACACTGAGGATGCTGGCACTTGTCGAGGGCTCAGGAGGCCCCCCTGCACAGGTGCGTCCATCGGGACCCAGCACCAGGGGGTGCGGACAGCTGCACACAAAGCTGCCCAGCGTGTTGAGACAGCCGTGAGAGCAGACGGTAAGGCTGGTCCTGCATTCGTCCACATCTAGTTACCAGAAAGAGGAGGGAGCTGGAGGAGGCAGGATGCCAGGGTGGGTGGGGCGATCCCGATCCCAGCACCCACCCCTATTGCCCGTGTTTGTGTGTATGTGTGTGTGTGTGTGTGTGTGTGTGTGTGTGTGGTGGTTGGGGATACCATCCTGCTCACCCACATGGCAGTGCTTCCCCCCCCAGCCTGGGGCACACTCGCACTGGTCTGGTCCACTGCAGACACCTCCATTAAGACAAGGCTTGGAGCAGATAGCTAGGGTGCATTTGAAAAGAGTTAAGATCAGACATGGGGCCAGCTCCCCAGCCACCTCCCACAGCCTGGAGTCCCAGCCTCACCTTCACAGGTGAGAGCTCCTGGGTGTGGCTTCTTCCAGCCCTGGCAGCACATGACGTGTGTCTGCCGTACCTCCCGCCTCACCTCCCGCCAGGCCGCACGGTACGTGGTCCTGGAATGCACGGAATAGGGCATGGACTTCTGGGTTCCCATCCTCGGCTTGGCTCTTGGGGATCCCCTTGAGAGACCCGGGAGGCCTGGGGCTTCAACTCTCACCTGTAGGTGCTACATACGCGCCTTCCAGCACACAGGGTCAGGTAGGGTTTGTACACTGGTTGACTGTAGGACTCGTTGTAACGGAGTGGAACCAGCAGCGTCTGCTTGGAGCACACCCCCAAACTGCAGGCACGCCAGGGAGGAGGGGGAAGACAGGGAGTGTGTCGGCGCCTCAAACAGCCGAGACCAGGCACCCCTCTCCCACCCTTCACCCCACCCCCATCCCAGCATCTCGGCATCTTGCCTTCATTCTGAACTTTCAATTGTCTTCTGTCTGCCCCATGCCAAACCCGATCCCAGCAAAGACCTCCCCCCAGCCCTCCCCATTGGCTGTCACCTTTCTTTGAAAGATCTTCCTTTGGCCCCTTCACCTGTCATCAGTACCAGGAGGAATGAGAGTCCTCGTAGGAAAACACTTAGCTCAGCCCAGGGCCCCATGGCTCCTTCACTCTGAGGGCTGCAGACAGCGGTTACCAGAGCTCGAAACTTCTCCTTGGCTCTCTAGGTGAGGCCCTCCTAAAGCAATCTGAGGTCAGAACATCGACTTTTCCTGAGCCACTCACATGGTCTGCAGCAGTCCGCACATGTAACCGGGATGCCCTGCCAGTACCAAGTCACGATCCCTCCATCCCCAGCCAGGCTCACCCTAATCCACTCCGTGTGCTCATGGCCAGCCTTCCCACACAACCCTTGCACACTGCCTTAGAATTATGTCACCTTCACAAGTGTACACACCTTACACCCAATCCCAAGCATCCTGAACACGTCTCGGCCACCACCGCTCTCCCACAGCCACACAGACCCCAGACATCCTTCACTCAGAATCGCCAGCTGCCTGCATCCGCACCGGAAGGTGAAGTGATGCCACCACTGACTGACCTCCTCTCCCTACATACTCTCTCCTCTTCCTACCTGTTTTCCCCGGTCCAGGAGACTGCAGCTGCAGCAGCCCCAGCAGCAGCTCACACTGGTGGGTGGGCCTCTCTGGCTGAGAAGATGCAAAAGGGCTGGACCACACAGCTGCCTCCCTCCCAGTCCTGCCCCCTCCCACTAGCTCCTCAGACTCAGGCTGGTTGGCTCAATAGTCAGGCCCTGTCTTCCTCACCTTCTCTTCAGCCCAGTGCCACTCCGCAGGACCTACACATCTTTCAGAGGCCCCCAAATTACCGACCCACCAAACCAGAAGTTCCCGGCTCTAATAGCAACCAGTACCCCACCCACTTCAGCCTAACAGACTGTGGGATAATGTGAGGACGGGGAGAGAGGGAGGGAAACAAAGCGAGGGCAGGTCATGGTCAAGTAGGCCAGACCAGCTGAGGAAAGAAAGCAGCTGTCACAGAAGGGCAGGGGCAGCCCAAGGCGCCAAGGGGAAAACTGTCTCCATCTCTCGATGGCATTTGTTGGGGGCTGAGGGGCACCACCCCCAATCCAGAAGAGACAGGGCCCTATTGTCTCAGCCCAAATTCCTCCTCCCAGGCAGAGGGAGACTCACTGTACAGCCCCTCACCCAGTCCTGGCCTCCAAAGGTCAAGGGGGATGACACATGTCCATCATGACCCTCAGCCCCCTCGTCTAGTCTGGGGGTGGCAGGCCAATTTCACCCACGAGGCTGAGGCCCAAACTGGCAGAGCCTGGGGCTTAGCCCCCTAACCCTAGGCTAAGACAGGAAAACAATTGTCTTCAGCAGGAAAGAACCCGCAGAGTCAGGAACCCACACAGAATGGGCATTGAGAGGAAGGAAACACCAAAGGGGTCCCCACCCCAGACCACTCATCCGGGCATCCAGGCCCCAGGCTATCCCCACCCTCTCGGGGGGTGGGGGGAAGCCCAGGTCCCCTTCACCTGGGAAGAAGCCAAGCCACACAGAGGAAATGGAACTTTTATTTCTATAAATACAGGGACCACCCGCTCAAGGGTAGTTAAAAGGGCTGGGGCCTCAAAGAACCTAGGCTCCCAGGGATACCCCAACACTGATCATAGGGACTGGGGGAGCCCCAAACCTGAGATGGGCCTCGCAGGCCACAGATATTCCCCAACACTGACACTTCAAAAGTGGAACTGTCCCCATAGGGGAGCCTCAGAACCCCCTCTTACGGGTGCCCCTCCCAAGAGGGTGTGGAGGCTGGCCACAAGGAAGTTGAGAAAAGAAGGACACGGGGATAACAGAAGCTAAAAATGTCCTGAGTGGCCTGGAAGAAGACCCCTGAGGTGGGCAGGGGCTGGGTTCTCCTCCGGTACAGCCAGATCCGGAGAAGCAACAGCAGCAGCGGAGAAGCCACAGTTAAAAACCTGGTGCTTGCTTCCCAACCTCAGCCATGGCAGAAAGGGAGAGCGTGAAGCTGTCTCCAAGTGAGGACATGAGGTAGGGGACCAGGACTTGTCATTCACGGAGGAGCAGAGGGGAAGGTTCAGGGAGTCCTGGTGGGGGGGTGGGGCAGTGTGGAAGCGACAAAGTGGTTCACAGGCATGCCAGAGGCTGGCATCTGCTTCCCAAGGCCACCACTTGATCTCTGGGCTGGGGAATTCCTGGAGATCCCGAGGACATCTTCAGGAGAGCCATGGTTCAATGCACGTCTCGTACAGTGTACGGTTGGAGTGCCAGGCGGTGTGAGAGATGCCAGCCATGGGACACCTCACTATGGCCCCCCGGGCCAGGAGAGTCTTCAACCCAAAAGAATCTCGAAGATAAACCTTCAAGGTGAGCCGAGGGCCATGGAAACATGGAAGAGAGACAGAAGTGAGACACTGCTGGTGTCCAGACCAGCCTCTCCCTCCCCCATGAGGCATGCCCTTCAGTCAAGGAGTCAGAGGCAGATCTCCAGAGTGAAGATCAACGGGAGGGAGGAGGCAAGTCTTTGGAGGGGCTTACCGGCTGCTCCTCCATCTCCAAGACTGTCTCGTTGGCATCATAGAAACCAAAGAAGCTACAAAGACATGGGCACAGAGGTTATCAGGAGAACCAAGGAGAATTAATGTATATCAGTGGCCCACACAGAGACCCCCCCAGCCCAGGGAGAAAGGCAGCATGGAGCACACACAGAATCTTTAAGAGGAGCTGGCATGGCAACCCCATAGTGACCTCCAGGCCAGACCTGTCTCAAACAACAAAAACCTAAGAACCATTCATGATTAAAAGAAGTTAAGGGCCATGTGTGTGGTGGCACAGGCCTTTAATCCCAGCACTTGGGAGGCAGAGTTTGAAGACAAGACTGTTCTAGAAAGTGAGTCCAAGACAGCCAGGGCTCTGTTACAGAGAAACCTTGCCTCAAAAATAAATAAATAAATAAATAAATAAATAAATAAATAATAGAACTTAAATTCTGGAGAACTGGTTGAGATTAAGAGCATAGCTGCTTCTCCAGAGGACTGAGGCTGGATCCCAGTACCAACATGGTGTCTCTCAATCATTTGTAGCCTCAGTTGCAGGACATCCACGCCATCTCACAGCTTCCCTGGATAAAAGGCAAGCATGTGGTACACAGGTGCACATGCAGGCAAACCACTCATAACATTTTAAAATAAAATAATCGCAGGTGGTGGTGGTGCACACCTCACTTAATCCTAGCCCTCAGGAGGCAGAGGCAGGAGGATCTCTGAGTTCAAAGCCAGCCTGGTCTACAGAGAGTTCCAGGACAGCCAGGGCTACACAGAGAAACCCTGTTTCAAATAAATAAAAATGAAAAATTAAAAAAAAAAGCAGACCTTAAGTTTGGGAGCTGGAGTGACAGCTCAGCAGGTAAGAGCAATGGCTGCTCTCCCTGTGAAGGCACCTATACACGCACACGCACAAATATATACACACACACACACACACACACACACACACACACGATTCAAAATAAAAATCCTTAAAAAGAAATTCAAGCTGGGCAGTAGTGGCGCATGCCTTTAATCCCAGCACTTGGGAGGCAGAGACAGGTGGATTTCTGAGCTCGAGGCCAGCCTGGTCTACAGAGTGAGTTCCAGGACAGCCAGGGCTACACAGAGAAACCCTGTCTCAAAAAAACGAAACAAAAACCAAACAAACAAAAAACCCAAGAAATTCAAGTGTATTCCTGAGTTCAATTCCCAGCAACCAAAGGTGGCCCACATCATCTATAATGGGACCTGACGCCCTCTCCTGGCAAGCAGGTGTATGTGCAGATAGAACACATACATAAAATAACTAAATCTCTAAATTAATTAAAGCTGATACTCGTTATCCTGAGTAAAAGTGCCCCTTCATGGAGGGGAAGGGAAATGTAACGGACAGCTCTCACCAACCGCTGATGCAAACGTACGCAAGCCCGAGTGCCTGTCCCATGTGTCCTAATATGGCCAGTGACTACCGCCCCCAAGTGAGTGGCTGAGAGAACTACATTAGGTAGTACAAGAGAAGGGAGGGGCTAGAGGGAAGGCTCAACGAAAAGCATCTAGTGGATCCAAACTCCATTCCCATACCCACGCTGGGAGCGGGGGATGGGAGCGGTGCTCACAGCTGCTTGTAACTCCGGCTCCGGGGCATCTGACACCATCTTCTGGCTCAGCGGGTGAAGGTGCCTGACAAACCGAATTCAATCCCACTGACCCACATATCGGAAGGAAACAACCAAGACTTAGGAGCTGGCCTCTGATTCCCCACATATGTGCACATAGACATATGCACATGAACATGCTCAAATCAAAATATGTAAACTGAAAACTAATACATCCTAAGAGGGGGAGGCTAACAGTGCTTTGGGACAGAACATATGCTATTAAGTCAGGAGCTATTACAACCATGGCGTCGTGACACATGAAATGCCACCCTCACTTTTGCACGGTTTTTATTTTGGAAGGTTGCCACTCCTTCTTTAATCCTCCTAACATCTTCCTATCCTACTTAGAGAATAATATTTTGTTTTTTGAAACAGGGTCTCACTCTGCAGCCTTGGCTGTCTTAGAACTCATTATGTAGACCAGCCTGACTTCGCGCTCCTCCTAGTGCTGGGATTTAAGAAGTGTGCCACCATGGCCAGCCTGATGTATACGTTAAGTGTACCACATTCAGTGCCTCTGTGAGCCGCCAAGTGGATGCTGGGAACTAAACCTGGGTCCTCTGCATGAACAGCTAGTGCCCTTAACCGCTGGACCACCTCCAGCATCTGTCTTTTAAAAAGCAAGCACACTGGCTGCCGGGAGGTTGGAGGAGGGGAATACTTAACAAGTACGAAGCTCCAGGTTAGTGGACAATGTTTTCCAGAGGGATAAAAGTGAACGTTACACAAGTGTTAACGTAGCTAATGACACAAAACTAAACATTTAAAAACTGTAATTCCTAAAGTTGGGTACGTGGTTGAGTTAGTACTGCCAAGCATACACTGAGTTCTGGGTTTCATGCCCAGCACTACATAAACTTGCCATGGTAATAAGTATCTGTATCTTTGGCTATACAACGAATTTGAGGCCATCCTGGATTACATGACACTCTGTCTCACAAAAGCTAAAAAAAATTAAAATTATAACTTCTGCTTCCCTATCCACTATAATCCTGTCTATCTATCCTTCTCTCCTCCTGGTGCTAAAAATCAAACCCAGGAGTCAAGTGTGGTAGCACAGGCCTTTAATCTTTCAAGAGGCAGAAGCAGAAGGATCTCTGTGAGTTCAAAGCCACCCTTCTCTACAGAGCTACTTCCAGGATAGCCTGGGCTATGCAGAGAAAAACCTGTCTCCAAAAACAATCGAGCAAACAGAAAAATCAAGCCCGGGACTTCAACTCATTACCTTTATTGTTTAGAGTCGAATTGGTAGCCCAGGCTGGCCACAGACAGAACTATCCTTCTGCCTCTGCCTCAAAGGTACAGGGATTACAGCTGTGTAGACTATGTTCAGCTAGTTTGTCACAATAAAAAACAGATCAAGGGCTGGGCGGTGGTGGCACACGCCTTTAAAATCCCAGCACTCGGGAGGCAGAGGCAGGCAGATTTCTGAGTTCGAGGCCAGAGTGAGTTCCAGTCTACAGAGTGAGTTCCAGGACAGCCAGGGCTATGCAGAGAAACCCTGTCTCGAAAAACCAAAAAAACCAAAAAACAAAAAAAAACAAAACAAAAACAACAACAACAAAAAACAGATCAAGGGCCTGACGTTGGCCTACAAGGGTTAGTTATGACCACACCCTGCTGCCTCCACTGCCTTCCCCAATCCTCACAGAGAAGGGCTCCCACAGGTACCCTCCCTTACTTCCCTAGGCTTGCTCAGATGGCAGCTCCTTCAAGGACACTTCCCTCCCCACCGACTACATGAGACCTCCTCTTTTACCACACCTGCCACCAGTACTTCTGATCTAGCGTCTTCTCCCCAGCCAGGGCATAAAGAACATGACATTGGGAACATTATTGCTGCTTCCCCAGGGCCCAGAACAGCATCTGGGCACACACGGTGTTCAATAAATATTTGTTGAGTAAATGTCAGACTCCCAGATCAACTCATGACAACACACCAGGGGCAGGCGCGAGGCACTGCGGAGCCATCCGTTTTCCTGAGGAATGAGGCATCGGCTCTCACAGATGCTCTCACAGTTCGGGAGAGAATCAGTGAATGTGTTAAGATGACAGAACCTTCCTCTTACACTGCAGGGATGTCAGAGTCCTGACTTTGGTCTTTTTGAGATGTTTGGTTAGTTGTTTTTTTTTGTGTGTGTTTTTTTTTTTTTAAGACAGGGTTTCTCTGTGCTGCCCTAGAATGTACTATGTAGATCTAGCTGGCCTTGAACTCAGAGATCCACTTGCCTCTGCTTCCTAGGATTAAAGGTGTGTGTCACCTCACCTGGCAGTCTGACTCCGATACCATGTTCTAGTTACCTAAGATACTGCACAAAGTCTCCACAGAGCATACACAGGACCTTGATAAACAATCTCTGAAACCTCCTACGAATCCGTGATTACTTCAAAATTGTGTGTGTGTAAATGCTGTGTATAAAATGTGTGGTTTCTGAAATTGGGTCTCATGTAGCCCAGGCTGGCCTCACAGTCACTAGGTAGTCCAAGGATGACCTTGAGCTTCTGATCCTCCTTCTTACTTCCTGAGTGCTGGGATGTGGCCCTTGTGAGTGATTGGGCCTCGGGCACACTAAGCAAGCAGTCTACCAGCTGAGACACACCCCCGGCTGTAAAGACTTTATACCCCCGGTATACAGACTCTTTATACCAGTTTGCTTGCTTGCTTGAGGTGGTATTTTGTTTTGACACAAAGTCTCACTATGTAGCCCTGGATGGCCTGTCGCTGCCCCGTGTGCCAGCATTAAATATTGCTGGCATTAAAATATCCATTTTTTTGTGTGTTTTAGTGAAGCCATCTCATTGTCTTGCCCATATCCATACTGAACTCCTGGGCTCAAATGATCTTGCCTCAGATTCAAGAAATTTCGATAAGGGTCAACTACGCAGGAATACTTGCCTAGCGTGTGAAGGTCCCTGAGTCTGACCCCCAGCCCCACCAAAAAGTAAGAGGGTGTGGTCATAATGCCTGTCACGTGGGATACAAAGGCAAGAGGTCTACCACTCAAGCCTGAACTACACACTGGGACCCTGTCTGTCTCTAAATGAACATCTCCTGTAGGAGGCTCTAACAGGCCAGGTTTGGGAGATCAAGATTGGTGGGGGTTGGAGAGCCAGTCTTCAGCCTATAATCCCACATTACCTAGACTGCCAGGGAGTGATAACTCCATCATCAGGACCCCCAATCAGCACCAGACGGCCCACACGAAGGAAGTTCTTCCGCCATGCTGTAGAGACGGGAAGAGACGGAGTCAGCCATAGGAGACAAGCCAGGTTTAGGTAGGAGCAAAAGAGGGGACACAAGTGAGACTGGGGGTCTTACCAGTGGCATTGGGATGGTCTCTTTCCCCATTGATGAGGGCCAGAAAGCTGCTGGCATTGAGGTACAAGTCGTCGTGGTGAGGATCTGAGTGTAAACAGCAGTTAGCAGGAGCCGGGGATGGGAGGGATCCAGTGCCTGCCTAGTTCACCTGAGGCCCTGGGTTTGGATCTCAAGTACCACATGAACCGGGAGGGCATGGATGCCACACACCTGAAATCCTAGCACTCAGGATGTTAAGTCAGGAGAATCAGCCGGGCAGTGGTGGCGCACGCCTGGTCTACAGAGTGAGTTCCAGGACAGCCAGGGCTACACAGAGAAACCCTGTCTCGAAACATCCCCCCCCAAAAAAAGTCAGGAGAATCAGAAGTTCGAAGTCATCCTTGGCTACATAGAGAGTTCAAGGAGGCTGGAGGACTGGCTCAGTAGTTAAGCACTGGCTGCTCTTCCAGGACTCAGGTTCAATTCCCAGCACCCACATAGAACTTATAACTGTAGATTCCAGGGGATCCAGTGCCCTCTTCTGGGCTCCACAGGCACCAGGCATGTGTGTGGTACACAAATATGCAGATAAAACACCCACACGTATAAATTGTTTTTTTTTTTTTTTAAAGAAAGGCGGAACACATAATGGAAAGGAAGACAAGGCAGGAAGGTCAAGAGACTACAGTAATAGTAAAAACTGGGACTGGGGAGATAGCTCAGTGGGTAAGAGCACCCACTGCTCTTCCAAAGGTCCTGAGTTCAATTCCCAGCACCCACATGGCAGCACACACCTATCTGATGTCATCTTCTTGTGTGCAGGTGTATATGCAGACAAAATACCCATATACATAAAATAAATAAATCTAATAGCAAAGTTAGACATCCAGCCACACAACAGAATAAAAATAACTTTGACATAATAGAAGGCAGTTTGGGGGTTTGGTTTTGCATGTTTTTGTTTTTGTTTGTTTGTTTGTTTGTTTGTTTTTTGAGACAGGGTCTATTTAGTCCTGGCTGTCATGGAAATCCTATGTAATTCAGGCTGACTTCAAACACAGAGATCACCATGCCTTTGCCTCTCAAGGGCTACGGTCGGCCCCCAGTGGATCAAATCCTGCCTGTAATTTGTTTCTGTAAATATGAGTGGGGACGGTCACTCATACTCATTCACAGGGCCTACGGTCCACACTGCAGCAGCCGAACTGGGACCCACAATGGTGGAGAGAACGGACTTTCCCATATATTCGACATGAGCACACGCACACGAACACAGAGACTAACCAAGATAAGCCTTTGTTGTTGTTGTTGTTTTTCGAGACAGAGTTTCTCTGTGTAGCCCTGGCTGTCCTGGAACTCACTCTGTAGACCAGGCTGGCCTCGAACTCAGAAATCCACTTGCCTCTGCCTCCCAAGTGCTGGGATCAAAGGCATGCACCACCACCATCCATCCGGCAAGCCATTTTTTAAAAATTTTTCATCAGACTATACTCTTTGAGGCAACTGGCTGGTTTGCATACCACATTCTGAACACCTGTCTATTTGATAAGTGTTGGATAAACAGATGTTGCTCTGGCTATGTCAGGGTAGGAGAAGCAGGCCCCCCACACAGCGCCCCGACCACGGAGGCCCCAGCGCACTGCCCCCCACTCACCATGCCAGTAGTTGCAAATGGAAAACTCCTGACCCCAAGGACTATAGCAGATCCGATAGAGGTTAGACCGCATGGACGTAGGGAACAGCCACTTCAAATAGTCCGTGTCTGAAAAGAGAACCGCTCAATGCCAAGGGGCCTCAAACCTCTGTGCCCCCGGACACGTTGCCTTCTACGACACCCACAGGGACCACTCACCTCCATACTGTCCCATCTGTGGAGAGGAAAGGGAGATGAAGGAATCCACATTGTGCTCATCCATGACAGACAGCAAAGCTCGGCACACCAGGCCTCCTGGAAGCAGAGCACCAGTGTTGGAAAGGGTCTTAAGAACAGCCACTGACGCCGGGCAGTGGTGGCCCACGCCTTTAATCCCAGCACTTGGGAGGCAGAGGCAGGCGGATTTCTGAGTTTGAGGCCACCCTGGTCTACCGAGTGAGTTCCAGGACAGCCAGGGCTATACAGAGAAACCCTGTCTCAAAAAAACAAAACAAAACAAAACAAAAAAAAAACCAGCCACTGAAGTGACCCTTACTTCCTGTCTCTCAGTACACCAAAAGTTAAGACTGGGATCTGAGGCCACAGATATAGCTCCGTGGCAACGCAGGAAAGGTGTCATGTAAGGCCTCTCTGACGAACTGATATGCTTTTAGCTGTTCTCCAAATCCTTAAATCCAAGAACCATGGCCGATGAGAACAGAAGGAAACCTCCCTCCCACTCAGGACACAAACGCCGGAAAACACGCGTGTTAGATAAGGGTCAAGCTCAGACGGGGTTTGGGAGTTAAGAGTGTGCTTGCCTACCCTGGGAGTAGCAGATGAGATGCACCCCTTCAGGGGCCTTTTCCATGATTGGGACCACAGCCTCCCGGAACCCTTGCACCTGTTCCCACAAGGGCCTTAAGCTCTCTCTGCCGTCGAAGAGATCAAGCACCGTCACCACAGTCCCGGGGTGTGTCTGTGGGAAAGGGGCAATGCAGCCACTAAGTTGGACTATGGAAGCCAAGTGTATTCACTGTGCTTGCAGGAACTCCCGCCCCCCGCCCCCCAGCTCTAACCCTGCCAGTAGCAGTACCATGAAGAACTTGCCTAGAGGGGTTTGTCTTTCATCTGCCCACGCTCCCTCCCCCAGCCACGGTAGATCCATCCGGTATCCCGACAGACCTCATTGATATAGTCCAGCAGGTGGCGGAAGCTGTATGAACTGTCAAAGAGCCCGTGCACCACGATCACTGGCTTGTAGGACCCGCGGCGGGCTGCGGGGGCTGCGGGCATCAAGAGCGGCAGGAACGGCAGGAGAAGCAAAGCCCAGGCCGAAGGAAGCCTCTGCCTCCATAGCCCCGGCATGCTCCCACCTGAGAAGGAACGAGAGGCTGTGAGGGAGACGACCCCCCTCCACTCCCAACAGACAAGCAACTCTCCGGCCTCCGCTCCTACTCCTGGTCCTTATGATAGGCTACTTTTAACTTACTCCATCCAGATGGCTAAGCACGAACACACCCCCAACCACCTCCATGCACCAATGCTCACCCTAAGTTCCGCCCCCAACTTGGCGCTCAAGGGACTTGGTCCCAAGGCCCAGGATCTTCCTTAAGCATCACCTCGGCCATGCACTACTCCGGGGTCTGCAAAGGCCCGGGAAGAGCGGCCCAGGACACACGGAGAGTGGAAACTCCCACCTGGCCTGTGTCTGGAGGCTTCGTTCCGCCAGCTGTTTACTTGTACCTAGTCTGGAATCCACGGGGTACGGGGGAAAAGGGGACAAGGAGAGCGCGCAGGGGGATGACGGATGGGGTGGGGAGGGCTGCTCGGGGTCGCGCAAAGCCGTCACGTCCGGGGCTTTCCCTGGCAACAGGGCGAGCGTCCCCTGCAACGCGGACAGTGGACCGGAGGGGCAATGGAACATTCCATTTCACCCAGAGAACTGGGGTGGAAATATACGGAGCGATCCATTTAGCCGGATGGGGAGAGGCAACAGCGGAAAAGAGAATCGAAAGAAGGTTTCCTTAGGCTTCAGCTGCATCCAGCCACCCAGGGGTGCAACTTCCCCTCCTTGATGAGCCCCACTTTCCAGTCCAGGCTGTCTGGCTTCGCAGCCGAGCCCAAGAGGACGTACGAGGGGGGAGGTTAGGACTGACAAAAGGCGATTCCCGTTTCTGTCGCTGGACGCCAGGCTTGTGGCAGACCAGAGTGCCTGGCCGACCGCAGCAGGAGAGCCCCTCTTCCCACTCCTGCCTGCCCTCCCGCTCCGGATCAGCGCCTTACAACTCTTCACTTTGAAGTACGTGTTGTGCCCTTGTCTCCCGAGACGCCGAGAGTCCTCCAGGCCCCTCGAGTGAAGTGCAGCCTGACCCAATTTCTCTGGCCCTACTTTTATCTCCGCACTTACGACCCACCCTCCCGGGCCCACCTTCTATGGGCGTGGGGCCCTGTGGGCCTCAAGAACTCACCACAGGATTTTCACCACTCTTTCAATCCTGATCGACCCCAACAATCTGCTCCTCAGATCCCTGCGGGCTGCTGGCGACACAGACCCTGCCAGTGCAGCCAGACTTCCTCCGCGCTGCGGGCGCTGGCACCACTCGGCCTACCCTTGACCCCTGCGCGCGCCGGAGTGCCCCGGGATGGCCTTTATCCCGCAGGGCTTTTACTTAGCAGTTAAATAATTCTACAGGATTTCAGAGCTTGCCAGAGACTCAAGGCCTGTACTCAGGGTCTTTGCTCGGTCTAAACTTAATAAAACCAGAAGCGAGTATTGAAGATGGTGTGGGAGGGATGGGTCCTAGGTTCCCTCTGATCCATACACGCTTGAAAAACCAGAACCACCGGTATGAGGCCGTGGTGTTAAAATTTCTCAGACCTGCCTGGAACGGGTTCAAGCCAGGGCTTGGAGACTGCTCTCCAGGACGCCACCAGAGGGGCTCTGTCCTAGAGCAACTGTCTCAGGAGAGAGTTGGAAAATCCTAAAGGGGTAGGGTATCTCTGATTCTCCTGCTAGGTTTCTGCAAAAAAGGCTCAACTGGTGTAATCTCTGTAGAAGGCCCATCCTCACCCCACCTCCCCACCTACGCCCTTGCAAGACACAAAAAGCAAATAAAAAGACTTGAAGTCACCGCTGTGTCTCGGCTGTGTCTCGGGTTGACTCCGGGGGTGGATCTGCGTCTTAGGACGAGGAGGGGAAGACACAGGTGCTTTAAGGAATGGATATGAATGCTGACTGGACCAAGATCTCTTCAGCCCCCACAAGCACGCTTTTCCAAACCTGCCTGTCACAAACAAGCAATTACAGCTTGCTTCCCTCTGATGAAGCATTTCAGCTTCTTATAACGCTAGAGAAAGAAGGTACCTGTGCACCCCCACAGGTGTTTTCTCTCCTTTTCTTCAGACAGCTTCATCTTCTTTTTTTTTTTTTTTTTTTGGTTTTTCGAGACAGGGTTTCTCTGTGTAGCCCTGGCTGTCCTGGAACTCACTCTGTAGACCAGGCTGACATCGAACTCAGAGATCCGCCTGCCTCTGCCTCCCAAGTGCTGGGATTAAAGGCCTGTGCCACCACTGCCCGGCCAACTTCATCTTCTTACTTCTATTGCCAAAAAGGCAGGCCCAGGCTGTATATCTGGGGGTCTTTCTGACCCTCTTGGCTCTTATCTTTGTACAGTTCTCTCTCACACCTGGAGAAACCTAGAACTATCTTGCAGGAAGTTCTGAGGGAAACTGAGGGAAGAACCCCTTGGGTGAGCAGGGCCTGATTGAACGGGGTCTGGAGATAAGTGTGGTAAATCCACTGAGCTGGCTTCTTCCCACAATATAATCACTACAGCGAGTCTTTGCGGGAGAGACTCTCGAGATTTCTCTCTCCCTCCCTCCTTCTCTTAGTCCCACCCGCCTTGCCTGGTCTTGCCTCCCGGTTTCCATGACAACTCCAAGGGAGCCTAAACTGGGGGCTTGAATGCCAGGGTGAGAGGAGGAAAGAGGTGGTCTAGAAGCAGAGAGAAATCGAGTTAGGGGGGAGACTTCTGAAGCTCTCCCCCATCCTTGCGTCGGTCCCTTTAAGCTCCCCCCCCAGGTTACCCCCCCCAACACACACTGTCTTCATCTCTCCATTTCCGAGCTGCTGCTGCTGCCACCGCCGCTGTGCCGGCTGCGCCATCCCGGACTCAGACTCCTGCGCCAGCAGTCAGGGGGCCCTGACTCCAGCTTCAGAGACCCTGTCCCAGCGATTGCAAACATGTCGTCAGAAAAGTCAGGTAAAAAAAAATAAACATATATATATACATATATATATATGTATATATATATATATTCAGTAAAACCCTCCCCCACCCCCTCTAACATCTCCTACCTAACCCCACTTGCCCTAATCCCCTTCTTTGACCCCTCTGGGATGTTGTGTGGCTGTGTGGCTCAGTTCCATTCCCCTTCTCTCCACGAGTACCCCCACCCCCTCCCCTTTCTATATCCCATCTTTCCCTTCCTTCCTTCAGGTCAGTCTGCCTCAGTCCCTTGTCAACAACACGGGGGGGGGGGCCGTTTTGAAAAGGGAAGGGAAGCACAGCCAGGTACTGCAGGGACATCATTCCTGGGGGTGACAGATGGACAGTCACCGGCTCACTGGCATGGAGACACCCAGTGGAAAAATAACGGAGACTTTATCAGACAGGGTTGTTGGGAAAGTAATATCTAGAAGCCTCTTTTTTTTTTTTTTTTTTTTTTTTTTTGAGATGCGATTTCCCTATGTAGCCCAGGCTGCTCTTGAACTTCCCAGTTCCTCATCCTTCCGCCCCTGCCTCACAAATCCTAGGACTGCAGGCATGAGCCACCATGCCTAGTCCCAGAAGCTTTGTTATGGACCGTAAGAGAGGCCATGAGATTCCCAGGTAACTCCACCTGAGGCAAAGTGGAAATACTGAAGTGAGCGCGCATGACCCCTGTGACACAGCCGCATGTGCAGGAAGAGGAGCAGCTCAGAGGGGGCAGCTGGCTCGGTGACAGCCCTGGATGAGGGTTGTGGTTGACAGCGGAGCAGCCTGGGAGGAGTTGTGACAGTTGTGACGGCAAAACTAGATTGGGGCCAGGTGGCCTAGATACAACCCCTTCCCTGACCCCAAAATGGGAGATGTCGTCTCTGCCGTCTCTCCCTCACTGTCTCTCCATCTCTCGCTGTCTCATGTCTCTTACCCTTCTGATCTCTGCTGTCTTCTCTCTCTTCCCTTATCCTCGGCTTTTCCATGGCCAGGCCTTCCAGACTCGGTTCCCCACACTTCACCTCCACCCTACAATGCCCCCCAGCCTCCGGCCGAGCCCCCCATCCCGCCCCCACAAACGGCCCCATCCTCACATCATCACCACCACCACCACTACCACCAGTCTGGCACCGCCACCCTCCCGCGCTTAGGAGCAGGTGGCCTGGCCTCTGCTGCGGCCAGCGCTCAACGCGGACCTTCGTCCTCGGCCACGCTCCCGCGGCCCCCCCACCATGCCCCGCCCGGCCCCGCCGCTGGGGCTCCCCCACCCGGCTGTGCTACCTTACCCCGCATGCCACCCGACCCTTATCTGCAGGAGACTCGCTTCGAGGGTCCACTTCCCCCACCACCGCCTGCGGCCGCCGCCCCACCCCCACCAGCGCCGGCCCCGACGGCCCAAGCCCCGGGCTTCGTGGTGCCCACGCACGCGGGGGCGGTGGGCACGTTGCCGCTGGGGGGCTACGTGGCGCCGGGCTATCCGCTGCAGCTGCAGCCGTGCACTGCTTATGTCCCGGTGTATCCGGTGGGCACGGTGAGTGTGGGGCTGGCAGGACCTAGGACAGGGAGGCAGGTGCCACAGGGACACGCGGGGAGCTGGGAGAGAGTGAAACAGAACCAGACCGACCGCCGTTCTGGTAACAAACCCTAGACAGAAGAGTGGAGCGAGAAGAGACAGCGGGTGGGAAGGTGGTGGACCTGGGGGGGGGGGGTGTCTTGGGGGGGTCAAAGGTCAAGGTTTGGGAAGTGGTTCAGAAATCAAGAGGAGGTCTGAAAGAAGGAAACAACTTGGAAGGAGAGGAAAAAAATGGAACGTGGGAAGCCAGGGGTAGAAGAAGGCAGAAGCCTGGGCCTGGAGATGCCAAGGAGGATGAACACAAGACCGGAAGCGCAGGCAGACCCATAAGCCATACCGTGTGAGACAGTGTGGGAGCTCCCACGAATATGGAAGGGAGGCCTAGGCCGGTTTTACTGTCAGGAAGGATAGTGCATGGATTTTATCCGCCTTAAACCTTAGAATGGTGTTTTTTAAAAACGTCTCTGCCAATTGGCCAGCTGCTGGCAAGCAGCAAGACTGTAGGTGTGACGTCCTTTTCCCCCACTGTCCTTCCCACAGCCCTACGCAGGCGGGACCCCCGGGGGTCCTGGAGTGACCTCCACTCTGCCCCCGCCGCCCCAGGGCCCAGGGTTGGCTCTGTTGGAGCCCAGGCGCCCGCCGCACGACTACATGCCCATCGCTGTGCTGACAACCATCTGCTGCTTCTGGCCCACAGGCATCATCGCCATCTTCAAGGCCGTGCAGGTGTCGGTCGGGGGTGGGAAGGAAACGCTTAGGCTGACCAGGGCTTCCTTAGTCCGGGGCATTCTGGATATAGTCTTAGAGGGAGGCTGTGGCGGGTGAGCACTGGCTCTCTAACCCCCTTCCCTCGCCCCTCCCCGGTAGGTGCGCACGGCCTTGGCCCGCGGAGATTTGGTGTCCGCTGAGATCGCTTCACGCGAAGCCCGGAATTTCTCCTTCATCTCCCTGGCCGTGGGCATCGCAGCCATGGTGCTCTGTACCATCCTCACTGTAGTCATCATCATCGCCGCCCAGCACCACGAAAACTACTGGGATCCCTAAACACGTCCCCATCTCGGCCCCACTCTGTGCCCCCCAATCTCCCAGGCGCGTCACGCAGTCCTGCCGCCCACCCAACGCGCGCCCTGCACATCCTCCTGAGGCGCTGCTGGACTTCCAGACATCATAAACTCCGCCCCCACGGAACCTCTGGCCGGGAGAGTACGCTCAGTTCCTCAGGAACCCCTCTAACACCCACGTCCTCAGCGGCGCTGGAATCCGTGCCAAACCCCGATCCTCCGGTCGCCCCAATTCCCCACCCCATCAAAGTGCAGTGCCAGGGGCGGAGCTCTCCCTGGTCTCCGCTCCCCAGAAGGGAATCAGGTCCCAGAAGCTCCGCCTCAT